TATAGTTCCTTTAGGAAAATAAGTCTCCCCTTTCTTTTGTACCTTTTAGTTGTTGTATGAACAACAAGATCTAAATAAAACACAAATACAATTTACTTCTGTGGAAAAATATAGAATTTTTGAAGTAAAAGGGCAGTGCAGAAATGGGAGAAATATATTGCAAACATGAAAGTCACTAATTTTATTCTTTAAACTTGCTGGAGAATGTAGAGAAAGACATTTTAAGAGAACTACATCAGAGAAAACAATAGAAATCATTTGATTATGTAGAAATGCACATTGAATCCATCACAAGGAGATAAAATTTCCCTTTTATATAGAAAGAGTACACAGTAGTATTGTATCTTTAAATTGGCTGTATCTTGATGGGTTTATTTTAATTGAAATAAGTATTTTCTGATCATTTCTTACGCAAGCTCTCCATGAAGGTCACAGGGAAACACATGGGACAGAAAATTTGAAGAAAGGTTTGTTTGTTTGTTTTGAGACAAAGTCTCACTGTTGAAGCCTAGACTGGCCTTGAATTTGCTATGAAGCCAAGGCTGGCTGCAAACTCATGATTCTTAGATTCTCAGCCTCTCAAATGCTAGGATTATAAGTATGTAGTACTATGCCTGGTTGAAGGCAATTTTTCCTAAATTTTAAATACAGTTTCTTTGCTTTCAAATTTAAAAACATCATACAAATAATAAAATATTCATATATCAATTGAATAATGATGACACATCATATCATCATCACTCTAAGTGTGTTTGCTATTTATTAAATAAGCATAATGAAATCTATGTTCATGTAATATACACTAACTCAAATTGATTTCTGGTACTTAAGGACATACTTGGCACTGAAAGGGCAAATGATGTAATTCATGTAGCATGTGGAATAGCCTGTGCCTTTCAAATATGTAGCAAAATTCATTGCTCAGGGATCTTCAAGGAACCCACATGGTTGATCGAGTGCTGATAACACAGCATCATGATTAATTGATTCCAGTTTCCCTCCACATATAGATGTTATAAAGTCAGCCCATAGACATAGGAAACTTTAATGGGTTCATTCAAACTCCTCTTTTCTATTTTGAGATTTATAATGCATTATTGGTAATTATATTCACCTGCAATGAGTATTATTTGTCCACTAAAATTTTTGAACACTTAATTATAACATTTATCTAAATACTTAAATTCCACAATTATCAGTACAAGAAAGAAAAGCATTTTCATGGTACCTTGAACTATAAGAAATTCCAATATAACTCAGCCTATTAAAACAAAAGAAAAATAAGTTAGTTTTTAGGCTAATGTTCTTTTTTTGTGTGTGTGGTGTACTGGGGATTGAACTCAGGCCCTTCACCTTGAGCCACTCCACCAGCCCTATTTTGTGTGTATGTGTGTGTGTGTGAAGGGTTTTTTGAGATAGGATCTTGAGAACTATTTGCCCTGGGCTGGCTTTGAACTGTGATCCTCCTGATCTCTGCCTCCTGAGTAGCTAGGATTACGGGTGTGAGCCAGTGGTGCCAGCTAATTTTTAAATTTGTGAAATCTAGTACATCCCCTGACATTGTAGTCAATGAGCACACTAAATCAAGAGATCTGTTGTATTTCTTTTTAAAGTAAGAGTTATTAAGAATTTTTACCTACCCCCATGTGAGCAGGTAAAAAGGAGGTTAAAAAAAAAAAAAAAGGAAGAGCAAGGCTATTTCTCCATGTTCTCCACTCATCTGGCTTTTATTATTTAGAGCTTTTTTACCTATATAAAGAAAGGTATGGTCACTGATAGCACTGTAAACTGATAAAATATGGTCTGTCTGTCTGTTTCCAATTGAAATAGAAGATAGTCAAGAAGAAAAAAACACTAAAAAAGTTATGGAGCTATAGCTACTCACAGATCTCCATTATCATAAGATAATTGGAAATTAGGAAAGCTTGCTAAATATTAAGTCCACAAAAAGGCAGCCAGCATTTAACAAATAGAGAAGATTGGATGAGGTATTTTTTTGAAAAAAGAGCTAAAATAATAAAATTATTCAATTTTACTAATCATTTTAACAAAATATTATAATTGCAATTATTAATTATTTTTGATGAATAAGGCTTAGTTGGTTTTTTAAGTCTTATGGTAACTGATGTTTTTTATGACAAAATTATTTGATACACCATTTGCCTCTTTAACTGTTATGAGAAATATCATTTATGCAACAATAATCTAGATACTCATCAGTTTTCCTAAGGATCTCCCTGGATTCTTAGATCTGCAAACTGTTTTTAAGGGTTTGGGATGCCGCTCACCTGGTTAGAGCTCTAGCCTTAACATGAGGCTGTAAGTTCAAAACCTGAGTACTGCCAAAAAAATCAAATAATATGGTTTTGAACTTACACTATTTTTTTACTTTGAAATTTATCTGCATCATTTCAAAATGTTATGATCAGATGGTCTAATATTCAATATTCATAGAGAAGTAACCCATGAATATTAATTTACAGGAGCTATCATTCACTGAGTGGGGAAGATTGTTGAAAAGTCACTTTATAAATGAACAACTTCCTTAGTAAATAATCTAGCTCTGGGTAGACTTTTCTTTCCTATGCAATCTCAGCCCCATTAGGATTGAAATAATGATACTCAGATTAGTAGGCCTCACAACTACCTCATTATATACGACATTAACTGCATACCCATCCCATCTCTTGAAATATACAGAGTTAAGTAGATGCCTATGAAAATTACAGACTTAATGCAGAAAATCTTCACCTGGGATTACAGGAGACATTCAGGAAGTTCTCAAAACCTTTTGATGCATGCAAATTAATGTCAATATATTTACAGTTCTACATTTTCCTAAGCAGAGGATCTATAGTTTTAACTAGACTCTCAAAAGATGCATTCTAATATACCATTAAAAATGATGTTTTCTAATCAATTTTAGCCTGCTTCAGTTGACTGGGACTTGGCTCCACTCTTTACTATGTCTTTAAAAACTTATTATCTATTTCACAATTAGCTGACAACTCAAAATCTGAATGAAGCAGCAAATATTAGTTCCTACTCTAGATCTTCTGTGCCCAGGATGTATTACCCTGTGCCAATTCTTAAGTCATCCAAGATTATAAGAAATAGGGTTCAAGGATAAGTAGTAGTACTTCCACAAAATATAGGAGAAAAGTGAACACAGGAGAAAAGTGGACAAAATAGAAACAGACACCAGCATCTATCTAGAATGGTGTGTTTTCCAAGGACCATTGAACATATTCTTTCTCTATGATTTGAAAAGTCAAAAATTATCCATTCAGATTATAAAGTGGAATTCACCTTATGGTTAAAAGAATATGCTCGGCATGATGATGCAAACCTGTAACCCCAACACTTGGGAGGCTAAGGCAGAAGGACCAAGGCCAGCTTGGGCTACACAGCAAGACCTTGTTGCAAACAAACAAACACCACCATATAAGTTCCTCCTGAAAATTCTTGAGAAAATGTATCCATTTGCTCTCTATCACATGGAACATTTCATATAAATGCATCTATTTATCCTTAGTGGCTAGTCTTGTAAATTAGTAATTATTTTTTCATGTCAATTAAAATTATTTTAATTATCCAAAAGCAGAGCTAATGGTGTAAGCCGGCATGAGAAAATCATTAAACCATAAAGATTTAGTGTTTCTCCATTTTCATAAGCCTTAGAATTTAAAATTTTGTAATGCCATATTTTCAATGTGAAAAAAAAACACTAAGACCCTTTGAAAAGTTTCTCTTAAAGTTCAGTATTCATGAAAAACTGGTAATAGATATTTAAACTTTTAGGTTTCTTTCTCCTAGTAACAAATTTTTGTTCTATTATATCATTCCTCCTAGCTTGTAAGAGTATCCTCAACATGTTGTTAATTTCATTTTTCAGAACTCTCCAAAAATCTACTTAGAATAGTGTCCAGATCTTTCTACTGCATGTCACAAAGACATCTTCCACACTTCTTCTCACTTTGATCATTTGGTTGGAATTATCCTCTGTATTACTTCTCTTTCACCTAACTCATGCCTTTAAAAAAGTAGTTGCATTCTGTAGTTCTCCTTAAATTTTGTCAATTATTTTAGTTTTCTATAATATTCTCCATTTAAAGCTTATGCTTAGATTTTAATTATATAAATAGAACCATTTGTTGTTTCTCATGTAGTCTTGTTAACACACCCCCTTCCATGGGGACTAAGACCATGCAGTCCTCACCTGCTCAGCATTTTCACAGGAACACTTGAGTTCTGAGCATCCTTCCACAAACACTGACCGGCTCACTGAGGTCCATCAATTGCATAATACACAGCAATATGCTTGGTAACCCACTTCCCAAACCTTAAACAAGCTCAGGAAACAACAACCTGAGGAAGTACTGCAGACATAAGTGTTTTTAATAAACAGTAACAAAGCAACCAAAGATCGCAGAACACTCTGAGTGCCTAGGGGCAGAGAACATAATACTCCACTCCAAGATGAGTATAATATAGTTTCTGTTTCACTAATTATTTTGTCAACTGTCAATCTAATTTTCAACGTTTTGTCAATTGGAGAAGACTGTATCAACAACTAATCTACATCCAACATTGAACATGAAGATAAATTTTAAATACTTGGCAAATTTCCTATTACAGGGACTTTTTATATTTTATTTACCAAACTTGATTATCTGACATCTCTTGAAAAAGAAAAGAGAATCTTTGAATGTCATTTCTGATGCTGATAAGAAGATCAGAAGAATGAAGAAAAATAAAATAATCTATACTACTTACATTGCGTACATGTGTGTTTGTATGAAATGATAAAATTCTAGACCTGTTCTGAAGGAAATTATTCAATGTGTTCCTTTTTATTTAAACAGAGAATGAAAAAATAAATATGTAAGAATTACATATTTTAATTGTAGAATTAGTGTAAGTACACTGACTGAAGGAATTCAGATCTAATTTTATTAACCAAAAATTTAATAAATATTCTGTATTTTATTGTGGGAAATTCTCATGCTTATTATAGATTCACTTTTCAATTGCAAGTGACAGAAAAATTTATTTTAAAATTATTTCCCATAAGGCTTTAACTTTAAACATGTCCACCAGGCAATAGAAACAGGGAATAACCACCAGATTTGTTGGTTTTCATTCTTAAAAACTGATGTAAGAGGCAAACAGCAGAATATACAAGAGAAGGACCAATAAGGGTTGTCTCTTATATTGCTCTTTATAGACTGTTAGCTACAATAGTATATTATCATGTTGCTGCTTTTAAAACATCAGTACAAAGTTGTTTCTTATGTTGTACCTCTTTCCGGGAAAACAAAATTTATGTATATTTGGGCTCTGTAGAAAAAGGAGAAAACATCTCTTCGGTCCTCAATAATTCTTCAACATCAGATCTCTTCTTCCTGTGACTTCTTCTATTGTTTCTAATCTTTTTTTCATAGACAGTATATTCCTTTCCCAAAAATGAAGCCAAAGCACTGTATGGAACACAGATCATAGTTGCATAGCACCAGCATGGAATTGCTTCCTAGTTGATGAATTGAGCCTGTTATTTCTTATAACTCATCACCATCCTCTGAGCTAAAGCTGCTTCTCCTACTGCTTGCTTTGGAAACTGCAGGGGAAGTGGCAGATAGCAGAGGGTCTGTTCCAAATGGTGATATTGTGTCCTCCAGTAGCATGTCATCCAATCTTTGTTCCTCTTTCAAGGCAGCACTGAATGATAAATCTGTGAAGTGTGACAAAGGATCAGAGAAGGCCATAGCTTGATCACAGAGCTCAGGGCTGGGCCCCTGAGATGGAGCCAGTTGTTGGCAACAGTCTACAGAATTCTGCTCAGGATGAGTCTGCTGTTTGGTGATGTGAGCACCTAAATCAACTGTACCATGTGAACCCAGGGTTGGCAGACCATGAGCACGGGCCTGTATTTCTAGTTCCTGCAATTTCAAACAAGAATCATTAAATAATGTCTTGCAAAGTGGGCATAACTCTAAAAAAAAAATCAGAAATAGAGTCAAAATACTAACAAGCATTAGAAGTGAACAGTAATACAGATTATAAGTATTCTCCACAAATAAAGGAATCTGATTCATTTCTGATGCCTAAAAAATAACCCTAAGAAAATTACCCTGCTTTTTAAAAAATTCAACTTTTATTGTTCCGTAAGGTTATTTATGATGGTCTCACAAGGGTGAAGACTACAAAATAGCCATTTAGAAATGGTGGAAAATCTTTCATTTACTTTAATAGATTAATTTCTCACCACAATTCAGGACCATTTCATGGAAACATAGTAAATGCTTAACCTGGTTATAAGCATGCTTGCATTAAAAAGAAAGAGAGTTATAAAAGCCCATATTTTGGTATTTTGTGTCACATGAACAATGAGAAGTGACTTAATATAAACTGGTACATTATGCCTCGAGGCAGTGAAATCCCTAGCAATGTTCCTAAAGAAATGAAAGGTGAAGGGAAGAATTTAGTGTCCAATATCTACAGAAACAAATGTCCTACTTAGTCTTGGTTTTTTGGCTGGGATAATATCTTGTGTATTTATGAAATGATTAACATTTTTGCATTTGGTAATTAGTTGCTGTCATTCATTATATGTATATTTTAAGTTATCTCGATCTTGGATTTCTAATGGAAACAGCCCAATGAATACCTACATGGCAATAAAATTGACTTTCAGAAAGAAAAATAATTGTGAATAAGAAAAATATAAATGAGACCAATGAATAAAGCCAGTGACAAGTAAGTAATATGTTAACTATGCCATTCATGGCAACATTCTCATAAAAACCTGAATCCGGAGTAGAAGTCGCCTGTTAGCCTGCTCTAATTTCTTCTGTCTGTGTTCCAACTCTCGGGCTTTCTGTTGTTCTTTTTGTAGCCATTTGATGTACTCCACTGATGCTTTTAGAATGGTTCCTTTGTTCCAGCGCATATCACTGTAGAACGGAGAGATAACCTTTTCACAATTGTGCATGTCAGCAGAATTCATAAGAACTTACAAAATCTTTTACATTAATATGAAATAATGATTTACATGACTATTATTCACTCTTAGATATTATTGCTTCTGAATAGAAATTTTAATAGAATAGTTAAGAAGCCCTTATATAGTAAAATTAATCCCAGAATGAAAATAAGTGTCAAAAGAAAGTAATAAAGTGACTTTTTTGTGGGAGAGCTAAATGCAATATCATGATTCTACCATTACAGTTTTTATATTTTTAGTGAAAATTGCTTTTATTATTAACTCCAAGATTAAAATCTATGTGCAGTATTTCTGCATTAATGAACTAGGAAATGTACATTACTGATGACTTAAGCCTAAATTTTTTTAAGATCATTTCAAATGTACCAATTTTTTAACATACTTCCTAAGAAGGTTGCTTTTGTTTCTAAGGAAACAAAATAAAGTCTCTCCTGAATGGTGATCCTGACTGATTGTGAAACATAGTAGAATTTGGCAACATTGCTTTATGAAATAGAGCAAACTTTCTAAAGTCATTTGACAAATTTTTCTGCACAAAAAGCATCAGTACTCTTTTTAAAAGCTAGATAGAGCTACCTATTTTCAAATAAGTTTAAGATAAACACAACTCAACATCAATGGATAATTTTTTAGGCTATATCACAGACATTATATTATTAAAACTTATTTTTGACTTAGGGGAAATTATAGATTTGGAAATGTAGAATAGGCTACTTATTTTTAATGTATGAAAATAATACTGTATGAAAATTGATAATGTGCATTGAGAATAAGACCAAAGTAATTGCTAAAAATTCATCAGAGTGACTAGAAACCCTGATGAATTTTCAAATTATGGTTATGAGATGTTTTGAAGACAGCATAAGGTAAGCTTGTAGGGAACTTTTGTATTTCCCTACAGATACTTTTGGTTTACATGATCAAAAAATATTGCATATATTTGTGATTTATGTAAACTATGTGAAATATATGGAACTTAATATGTATTTATTAGGGTCAGAAGTGGTAAAATACAGCATATCTGATTTGAATATGTGTCACTGGATGTTCAGTTTAAGTAACAATGTCATTAGCAGTCACAAATTAAAGGAAGATCCATTTTTCTACAACCAGGTGAAAAGGCATATTAGGGTACAGGTAATCCATCTTCTGAAATGCACCAATCATTGCCTTTGTTTCTCCAGTTTTAAAATCCTTTGTCAGTTTTCTTGGGCCATAAGGGCTGTTGGGACCATTCCTACTTATAGGGAAATGTACATTAGACTATCTCCTTAGACATTCACGTCCACTTGCAAGCATTAAAAAATTTAATTAAAAATGTAAAAAAAAATCCATGATGTCTGATTTGCAATTTTCTCAAGTAATAGTTCTCTACTACGGTTGTCCCGTGTATTTTTTCCTTTTTAACTTGACTATTTTGATCTGCAAAGGAATGTAAAGTTTTGCATGCTTTTGAATATAGAAATGGGAACTTCGTTGATTTTGGTGTCTGGGTACTAGGTTTGATTTTTTTTTGGCAAAATTGATTCATATCAGGAGCTGGAAAGGTTCTCAGAGTTGAACCATTCCACAGTTCTTATTATTTGCCTAAGAGTATGTGGTGTTTAGAAGTCCTGGTTGCCTCACTCAATTTAGTGCTCTTTCTGAAAATCTGTGGCTTTCTCCTCTTTCAGAGGCATCTGTCATGAGAAGCAGGTTTTGTATTGCAACAAAGTTTTCTTGAGGTATTAACATCCTTCTCTTGTGCAATATCTAATATTCTGCTTTGTTTAGAATACTGGATCTGTTTTATTGGTTGGTTCTATAATCCATTAGTAGTTATGGCACATCATTTCTAAAACTTTGTACTAGTTGATTCTACAAGCCATGTATATTTTCTTCAAGAGCGATTCTTATAATTTTAATGATTACAGTCACCTATTCAATTAGTCTGAAATATGTTAAACTGAAATCTTGTTTGATTTTTTTTCCTTTAAAATCCACTTTTTGTTAGTTTCTCTATTAGTGTAACACAGAAATGCCATTCCTTCAGTTTCCCACCTACAAACTAAAACTTGTATTATCTTCATACTCTTTCCCCAGGATTTTTTTCTGAAACTTTTAGGTTATCCATATTAACATCTAAAAATTCAACAAATTAATCCAAAATAATTTCATGAATAGATATCTACTCCTTGGATCAATGGTTCCAAACACTACTTCTCAGGTAAACTCCATTTTAAGATTCTAGACTCTAGATTCAACAATGGGATTCTAATTCCTGAACCCTGAAGAAAGTCACTGGAGTGACATGTAGGGCCACAGCAAGCCAAGGAATGAAATGTATTGAAACAGAATTAATATTCAGATATTTGGCACACCACTTCAGTGTGTTCCAAAATAGTATTATCTGCCTGTATTATGTGGACAGATCCTCATATACACATATTCAACACCTGATTAATTAAAGTATTTCAGTTGGACCCTAATGTTACTTGTGTACATATAACATAATAGAACTAAGACCAAAAAATAGTCCTCTTTTCTGAGATACATAAGGATTTGAGATCCAAAAGGAAAAGAAAGACATTCAGGAATGTTTGCAGACAAGTTTTCCCAACAATGTTGCCTTTCAGATATAATTCTGTGGTAAATTGTTTTCCCATATTCTAGAGCAGGAGTAGACAAATGATAGCCCTCAGTCTGTTTTTGTCAATAAAGTTTTACTGCATATAGTCCTGATCATTCATCTGCATATTGTCTATTTCTGCTTTTGGGCTATAATGGCAGAGTTAAATAACTCTGAAGGGGTTTGTAGGGTCCCAAAAGCTTAACATTACAGGGAAAGCTTGTCATTCCTTGTGCTAGACGATTAAACTAGAAAGGATTCCTTAGAAATAAAAGAATTTATAAATATGTAAAGTAATATAATCCTCATACAACCTTTGCAGTTTGTTTTCCCACACATCTTATTGATTTTATTTTTATATAGGGAAAATGGCTATTCTCTTCAATTAACAGAGAGTCTTGTGCTTAGTGAATCTGAAAGGCTTGAAGGATGATTAGTGGAGCTGAACTAGGCCTGAGCTCTGCAGATTTCCTATTTTGTGCCCTTCTGCCGCTATACTCTAGTGTGCTCTTAAGGATAAATATTACACTCTTTTCTATCACACATTATTTAACTACCCAAGAAAATTTTTAAATTTGAATTTAGGGAAAGAGTACATTCAACTCTCACAAATACCACTTCATCAAACATCTTTATTTTTGGATAATGAATAATTGCCAATATTTGAAGAAGTCATTTTCAAATCATTATTAATGATACAGATGCTTTTATGATTTTGTACAAACATTAAACATTCTAAATTGAGACTCTGATTAATTAACTATTTCTTGAGATTTACAACCTCACACGTTTGATTTTGTGTGTTTGCCACCAAAACCTAGCTAGCATCAATCAGTAGGGTTATACAATTCCATTTATTACAGTATGTCGCCAAAATTTTGAGACATCTGAAAATCTGACAGTTCTATTTTCATGTACACATAAATCCTAAATTGGAGGAAATGATGTAACCGTAAATTGAGTATCCAAGTCAGCATCATAAATAACTTTTGTTACCATCATTAAATTTACCAGTGTTGTTACTATACAAAAGACCCACTTCTAACTGAGAAGTAATTAATGTATTTCCTATGTCGAGAAGGACAGCTCTAGAAAGAGTCTTATGCTTAATAATGATCATGCTGGAATAGATGTTTTAATGTGAGACCAGCAATAGCTTTATTTCTGTTATTTGATGCTTAGTTTCCTGGTCATTGGATCTGCCCTCCTTCTCTCTCCCTTCCTCCCTCCCATTTTTGGGGTATTGAAACCATAATCATATTATGAAAATGATTTTGAACTCACGGATCATTAGACTTTGGAATAAGAGTGCCAAGCTCCTTGATTCGGTAATTAATATTATACCTTCTTCTTCTTTCAACTATTAAAGAAGAAATATTATTGATTATTCTCATTAAAGGACAGTTAACTTTTGGTCAGCTGTTACTTTCTTATAAATCTTTTAACAACAGTGGAGAAAATATTTCCTTTAATCAAGTGATAATACATCTCAATAATAAAATCAAAATTTAAATATATCTTCTTCCAAAAGCTAAATTTACAATATTAGAATCAGGAATACATTATTTCAAATATTTTTAAAATACTTTGTTTTGAAAGAAATGCGAATCGAAACTTCACTAGGATTTCATCTCACCTCAGTCAGAATAGCAACCATCAAGAAAACAAACAATAAATCCTGGCAAGGGTGTGGGGAAAAGGCATCTCGTATGCTGTTGGTGAGATGTTGCATTAGTAAAACAGCTATGGAAATAAGCATGTAGGGTGATCAAAAACTAAAAATAGACCCTGCTATACCACTCTGGGGTAAATATCCAAAGTGCAAATCAACATATGAGAGAGATACCTGCACATATATGTATATCACAGCACTATTCACAGTAGCCAATCTGGAGAATCAACCTCAGTATCCAAAAAATGATGAATGGATAAAGAAAATGTGGTGTATATACACAATGGAGTATTATTCAGCCAAAAAGAAAAATAAAGTTATGTCATTTGTAAGAAACTGGAGATCATCATAATGTCTGTGTGCCTAGCTAACAATGACTATCTTGAGATAAGGAGTCATATTTTATTCATTTTTGTATGTCCAGAGAGCTTGCTCCATATAGGAGTGCTAAATGAATGTTGTTGATTAGAGTATCAAGTTATTTTTCTAATTTAAAGTTTTTAATAACCTGTAGATCAGTGGTTTTCAAACTTTGTTTTCTATCAGACATAGCAGAAAGGACAGTTAAATAGATTTGCATCTCACAAGTAGAGATTCTGTTTCTAATAGAGTCAGCATATGCATTTCTGATAGGCCCTCAAGTGATGCTGATGCTGTAGGTTTAAGGCCAATGATTGAAGAACTAATGAATGCTGAACACCGCGGACTCATGCCTGTGATCCTAGCTACTTGGGAGGCTGATCTTGAAAGGTCGTGGTGTAAAGCCAGCACCATTTCAACCAATATCTGGCTACAGTGGCAGTGCATCTCATCCTAAGCTGTGAGGGAGGCTAAGTCAAAAGGATCACATGATGGAACTATTCTGTAAATGGAAAAAAATGAGACCTGTCGAAACTATTCCAGGAATCAGGGGAAGAGGGATAAAGGAAAATGACAGAGGGGGTGAATTGAACTATGATAAATTGAAAGACGTTTCATAAATGTCACAAGGTACCTCCAGGACAACATTAATAAAAATAAAATTTTAAAAATTAAAAAAAATTTTTAAAGGAGGATCACAGTTCCAGGACAGCCCAGGGAGAAAAAGTTTGTGAGACCTCATCTCAATGGAGAAAAGCTGGATGTGATGGCATACTCCAGTCATCCCAGCAACTGGGAAGTGTATAGGAGAATCATAACCAGGTCAACCTGGAAAAAAAGTGAGACCTTATCTCCCAAAATAACCACAGCAAAAAGGGCTGGAAGCATGGCATGAGGGATAGAGTGACTACCTAGCAAGCACAAGTCCTGAGTTCAAACTCCAATATTACAAAAAAACTTTAAAAGGTACCAATGCAGCTTACTCAAAACTGTTTTCTCTATTTGCATTTACAGTCACTCATTACTTATGGAAATGTTGTATATATAGTAACTGTTCAATAAATGACAGATACATGATGAGTTTCTGATAGTGACTCAAGAACAGCCATCTACTCTATATCCCTATTATCAAGGTCCATAACTTAGTATTTTTGCAATAGGTAACATATTTAAAATTTTAATGAAGAAATGGGCCATGGAGAAGAATATAGTTCAAAAATATTGTAAAATACTTGAAAAGTGCACACTTGAAAAGTAAGATCTGCTATGTGAAATGAAGTTATTACGGAATATCAATTGTCTTGGTGAACCTACTTTATAAAGCAAATTACCATGAATGGATTTGACCTTCAGGAATAACACATTGAGCTCTCTTTAAAATTAGAATATAATTGATTCTTGAGAGAGTTTCTTTTTCCTCTTTACCAATCCTGTTTTCCTTGTGTATGTGATTCAAAAACCAGTTAAATAATACCACGTAAAGGAAAAATGATAGAAATAAATCTATACTTTATAGTGAGATTTATTAACAACTATATTTAAATACATTATCCCTTATATTGTAAGCCAGACTTTTAAAATCTGAGAAAGAGAACAACTGTGAATGAAGTTCATAGTTTTATCTTAAAATAAGTTGCTAGTTTGATCCTATACTGTTTCTTCTAAACAAAATCAAAATCTATTATTTAAATTCACTTATGCCAAATATCAGAAGTTCCTTCTCTACTCTTCTTAGGTTGTATCTATGAATTTTTAATGAATAATTATAGCATAGGTTCCTAATGCTGTTCATAGCTATACTAATTGTAAGAGTTGTGTTGACATGTTTACTCAATCCTGTTCCTAGATCCAAGCAAAAGAGGGTCCAACTCTGAGCTATACTCAGAGGACCTTTTCTTTTCTTCACTGACCACATATCGCCTCAGGGAGCAAGGCAGCCATAGGGCCAAGGCAGTCACACTTAAGTGCACTCTGGATAATTTATGCAAAGAATTTTCTCTCAAGTTCCCTAGGCCCAGTTCTAGAGCCTTTGTATGCCATGTCCTGAAAATGATACCAGTGTGCTCACCATTAGGTTCAAGAGGTGACCCAAGGGCAGTTGTTGGCAGGGATGTGTATGGGGCTCGAATGCAGAGAGTGTGGAGATCACACACATGTTTTAGGTCCCAGCAGCACAGAATGGAAGTTAGGGTAAGGAGAGAAGTGGAGTGGGCTGCAAGCTGAGGGCTGGCATTGCCATACCCTCACATTTCCCAAACTAAACCCTGATGGTCTAAGAATTTTAAATTCATTCCTGTCCTTCCAGTCTTAAGGAAGGATGATACAAACTTTAACATTTTCTAATTTGGTTGATACCTTATATATATTTAGGTATCTAGTAAGGGATATATTCTTTGCAGTATGCAATTATCTCCTAAGTTTTATAGTTTTGTGGGTTGTCCTAGATTCATTATACCTAAAATTTGTGGTATTAAATTTTCAATGTTAATTTTCCCTCAAAAACAAGATGACTTAGTGAGAGAATCCTGATTAGAAACACTGTCATAAACACATACCAGACACCAACTCTATGCTGCATTAAGTGACCTGTTGATAAGCTGCTACAGATAGAGGAAAGAAGGGAATCATTAACAGGCTTACTAAGGGAGAACTCCATAGTTCCTCTGTGTACTAATTCCTTCCATCAATCATGAACTCTCACCACTCATTCACCTTGCCTCATAATCTGAACCAAAGTTATCTGCCCTGTCACTATGGCTACGGGAACCCCATCATTACCCTGAGGACTCTTAGAACCACAACTCAGCACTTTCTGCTTAGTCATTACAGTCAGCCAGCTCTCATCACTCTGGTGCAGAAGGTGCATTATGCACAAGTGCAGGTTCACAGGTACATGTAGAATCAGTTTCAGCCAATTACATATGAGAATATTACTGACTTGATTTAGAACTTTACATTTTTATTTATCTTTATTCTGTTTTAATCCTTCTCTCATTTTTGATTTGGCTCCCAGAACAAAAAAGCTTTCACTCAATTAGTCAAGTTCACTTGAGATAGCTAGGCCCTTAAAACAAGACTAAGTACTCTTAACACTCCAACTTGCTACTAATCTATTTCTCTTGTCTGCATTTTTCTCTCATGTGACCTGCTATCAGAGTCAAATTGACCCAGAGGAAATCAGCATTACAACATAAGCAATGTCTTTCAGATAACACATCATTAGGAAAGGAGGAATAAATTGACACAGAATAATGAGAAGCTGGACTTATATTTATGACATTTAAATGGTATACATTTTCTACAGTCTCATTATTTCTTTATATCTTTGAATGGGTGACTCACAACACAGTTCTAATGTGACCCAGTGCACTAAAGTCAGTCACACACTTGAAATGAAGGATTAAGGAGAGAGTGCAACATGTTTTATTGTGTGAAAATGAATAGATTTTTTTGAGAGTTCATGTGGTTTGCCTTTCCCAAAACAGTTCAAGATTAGGAGACTGTACAATTAATTTTGATCATCTGATTTCACGTACTTATGGAATGACTATGAGAGACCATAAAATTTAATCTGTACCCATTTCCTCTTAAACTAGTTTTGTTTGGGGAAAAAAGGAATATATACTCACTGAGATTGTGATTGTCCTTTTTTTGTCTCTCTTTTGCCAAAGCTCTGGTGTCAGTTTCTGATGAGAAGAAAATTAATTGAAAAAGTGTTTAGTTTTACCTTAAAACCTTTCTAGGCCACATAATTCAGAAACATTAGGTGGAAATATAATATTATCCAAAATGGCACAATAATACTTTTGCAATTATTCAGAAATTTGGAAGAAAACTCTCTAGTAAAAGACTTAAAGCCATTAAGCTCTGGGGTGGTAAAATCTGTATTTGTTTTCTCCAACTACCAAATTTCTCTGTGTCTCAGGCTTCTTATCTACAAAATGAATGTAATATACTGCCTACCTGATAATCATGGTGATGATTACAAAAGAAGTATACATAGAAAATGTTACACTGTTTGATCATTTCTACTATTATTTTCAGAACCTAGGTTCTTCATAGATACTTGTGATTTCTGTACCCCAAGAGTTGTAACTATCTACAGTTCTCAGATGTTCATATTAAACAACTCCACACTCTCAGTAATGGCACCACCCTCTATGAGCTATGTGGTTGTATTTGTGGTCATCAGCCTCTAAGATGGCCTTCAATGATTCTTACTTGCAAGTATTCCCACCCTTTTTTGCTCTTTCCAGCCCATAGGGTACTGTGGAAATGTCTACTGTGGCTTCCAAGGTTAGATCATAGAAGACATTTTCAGCTTTCACTTTGGTATCTCTTGGACCACCAGTTGAGATATCATGAGGACATTAAAGCAACAGCATGGAGAGGCTCACCCAGTTACAAACCAAGACCACTTGTTAACAGCAGCGTTAACTTGAAACATCTATGAGTAAACCTCCTTGCAAGTGCATCTTCCAGCCCCAGTCAAATATCAACTTGTGTACTTCTAACTGACATCTAAACAATAGCCCAAGAGATTCTGAGATAGGACAAATTTGCTAAGCCTTTCCCAGATCCTTAACCCTCATAGATTGGATCAGATAACAATAATCTTTAGTACAGTGTTTTCACAATTACTGTAAGTTTAAAGATAGGTAATACATTCTATTTAAATATATAAAATGTATCTATACACGTGTGTAAAGCATAACAACTACTAAAAAAATAAGTACATCCAGCTGAACTGGTATATTGACTTACTGCCTAGTTATAATTAAAATGATGGATTTACTCTCTAAATATCTCCCTTTTAACCAACTATTTTGATCATATTTTTTAAAGGCTATTTTCATGACAGTATAGGACACTTACATCTTCTGTAGTTGACAAAAATGATGAAGGACAAAACTATAAAAAGCAACATTACCTGTAATTTCTTTTTTCAGTGGTAGACTACTTGGACAGGAAGCACTTGTAAGACCCATATTAACTGGTGAAATCCCCTGCTCGCCACTGTATACATCCAAAATACTTCCAGATAACTTTTGAGGCAAAAGGAAAAAAGAGCAATTAAATCTTCTGTGCACATGAATACACTGAATTGTATACTTTAAATTGTCCATTTAAAATTTGTCACTTTAATAATGATAGTGGCAGTACATAGTATTTCAATTTTAAACAAGAATATGAATCCACTGATTTTAAATACATTGTGGAATCCTTGCAGGTAAAATATGCTGAAAAAAGCTGTTCGTTTTTAAACAAAAAGAGAAGTCAGTTCACGCATGAAGGGAAGTTCTGATTAGTATTTACAAAGTTATATAAGTTTGAGTCAGCATATGACATGGTTATAAATGAATCCAATTAAAAATATCATTTTGGACAAGAATCAATGCATGCCTTAGTGAAGCTGGAAACTTCCTTGCAGTCCACAAATTAGGTACAATGGTTGACATGTGTGAGCTTCCTAATACCATCAGTGCTACCAGCAACTCAGTCAAGAGGTCTTACAATGTTAAGCAGAAACTCTCCATCTTGGAAGGCATACTTCTTCTCATTGTACACCTAACGTTCTAGATGATTATAAATATCCCAGCTGGTAACCAAAAGTACTGCAACTACTTTTTCCTCCAGTGAATGTAGGGAACATCCAGTGACAGTCACACTGAAGTGCTTGAAATGCTTCTGGGGAACAATTTTTTTAGAAAATCTAAGGTACTTCATTATACACAACTTAAAGTTGCACTGATTCATTGTTCAAAATGTGCTTGTTGATTCAATTCCCCAAGACAATTAAATTTAAATAATACTCATATTTCAAGTTACTATCTATTGTTTCGGGAAAAGTTATATTTATAATGTAGGATTTCAAATTTTAAAATAGTCCCATTCAAAGTATCTTTATTCCAGTTCTAGGTAGTTAAGCAAATGCTGAATATGTAGGAACTTTTTTTCTTTCCTCAAGGACTAGGAATAATAAATATCATCAAAGATGGCTGTAACATGATTATTATAGGGAATCCAACTCCACATTCTTGCTTTTGGCAAAATTCCAATTCAACCTGAGAGAATTTTTTGATATTTATAAAACCAGACTGGAAATGAATATGAAAAAGAGACATATTGAGACCAAAATTAGTTACTGAGATAATAAACTGCTCTAGTATATGTAATAAATGCTTTATATTTCTAAGGAAAATAAACTGTGAAGATACAATTGAAATAATCTAATACATAAATTTATGCTCATATCAATGAGGACATTCTAGTCTGCATAAGATATTATGATGTATCTTCTTATGTATAGTTTTCTTCATTGTTAATTGTATGAGAACTCTTCAACTTTATGTTTTTTTATTTATTCATTTTAACTTTTGAAGTGCTGGAGATTGAACTCCAGGCCTTGAATATTATAGGCAAGTGCTCTACCACCAATGAGCTCATTGTTTCAAAATGTGATTTTACATTATGGATCTTAGTAAGGACCTAGTTAGGCCAAGAATTTATTTCTTTTCAATCTCTTCATTTACAAAATAAGGATAAGGTTTATTAAATTGAAAAGATGATATGTGTAAGTATCACATAAATACAATTAGGAAGAAATCCAAAAACTTTATTTCCCTAACATGTAGGTAATTTACTCATATTTTTAAAAATATAAATTTTCCAAGATCATATTTGAAAACCCTATTAGTTATAAGCTTAAGCATAACCAACATGAATTGCATATTTGCACTGTGCCTTGGGGAAATGCAATGGGCATGAATAAAAAGACAGGTAGTGAGAGGGGAAGGAGCTAAAGAAAGGGAACTTTTCCTCTGAAGAGTTGGAATACAGATGGATTTTAATGCCCAAGTAGCAAACTGCAGAAATGTTACAGAAGAGAAAAGAGTTGTAGTACATGGACACTGTAGCAATAATACCTGTGAGAATTTCCTAACTACAGCATCTCATTGGGTCCATATTACCTGATCAGACAGTGCCCAAAGCATAATTCCTTAGAAATGTGGCAGGTTTTTGATAATGAATCTAATCTTGCTTAACTATAGCTATATTACATCTTCTCCTGACCTTGGTTATTGTTTAATTTATGCCCTAAAGCACAATGATTAATATCCTATTTAATTTTATGCTGTAGGTACTGTTCTATTTTATGTAAATGGCTAATCGCTTTTTGACTATCATTAGACTATTTGGGTTTCAATTTCAAAGCATGTAATACACATCATGTAATCTAAAATGCCTTTTCTCCATTAAAAGTTGTGAGAGTACAATGTTAGTGAAAATTTAATGATTATATACACATCTAAAAGAGATTTCAAAGAAAATTTACATCTACCTTTGTCAAAGGCATAAGTTAGTTAAGTAATAAGACCTAAGTCTTAACTTTGTAGAACATTAAGGAACTGGAAAGGTATCTTTGAAGACATATTTTATTTATTCTAGTTTTAAAAAGAAGCTTGTTTTCTCAGTAATGTAAAACCTTCAGAATTGCAATAAATATATTATTATGAATAAAAAATTTTAAAGACACAAAATAAAGAATTGCTTATAAGACTTATTCAATAAGGTAGAGCATATGTCTCTATAAGATAATGCTTCTCTCAGGAAGTAAAAAAATTGAGCTCCTGATCTGAGAAGTTTTTTTGAAGTGAGGAGTACTTGACAGTGGTTTTCTGGTATCTAGATTTTATTCCATTTCCACTGCTGAGGTTACAGGGACTGAAGTGGACTAGGTCTGACCATTCCACATATATAATTCCATCCATAGTAGTCAGTTTTTCTTAAAGAAAATAAGCTTACAAATTGAAATAGGAAAGCATCTGAGGAAAAAATAACTGTGTCAAAAGTAAATAATATGTAGTATTGGAAGTGATATCAAAAGAAAATGCAAACAAGTTTCGTAAAGCCTAAAAGCAATAAGGTAGTTATTTGTAATAATTTTAATAGAACATTACAGAAAGTAATTGTAACAATGACCAAAGGGACCAATAAACAGGAGACATGAATAATATAATGCTTGGGGGAAAAAACTACCAAATGAAAAATAGCATAATGAATACATTGAGAAAGAAATAAAATAGTTAATAAAATGTCAGCCAAGATTAAAGTTATCTTTCAGGAGGGTGAAGAAAAGGACCAAGAAATAGGACATATGGAAGCCTAAACAATATGGAAGACAGATTGAGCATAACAAAAATACAAGTAATAGTTTTCTTAGAGGGACAGAAAATCAAATCAGAAGGAAGGAAATATGTAACAATTAATGGAGATAAATTTCCAAGAATTAACACTGAATGAAAACTATAGTATATTCTTTTATTTCATCTTTTGTTGTTTTATTTTGATTTAAAAATTAAAGTACCTATACAATGCCACTGTCATATTACATTGAAACTTTAATATACAATAACAGAAAATCTAAAAGTATAGAAAAAGAAACTGCTATGTACAAAAGAACAAAAATCATGTTAGTGTAAGATTCTTTTCAACAGCACAATTAAAAGGAGAGAGAAAATAAATCAATATCTTTTAAATGTTGAAAGAAAGAAATTAAAGCCAATGGCTCATTTCTGTAATCAAAACTACTTCTTAAATTGATATTGGGAGGATCACAGTTTGAGACCAGTCCTGGCAAAAGAAAAAAAAAAAAAAGGGTTGTGAGATCTCATCTCAATAGAAAAATGCTGGGCAAGGTTGTGAGTGCCTGTCCTCCCAGTGATGGCAGGAAGCTTAAAAGAGGAGGATAACCTGCAAGGCTAGCTTAGGCAACAAGTGAGACCCTATCTCCAAAATAACAAGATCAAAATGTTCTGGAGGTATGGTTCAAGCAATAAAGTGCCTGCTTAACAAGTATGAATCCCTGAGTTTAAACCCCTGTACTGCCAAAAACAAAAAGGACAGAATTTAAAACACAGTTTTATATTCATACTAAGTGTCACTCACATATGAAGCCATGAGAAAAATATTAAGAAGGTTTACTCCCACAAAGAGTAACACTGAAAAAGTTTTAAATGAAGTACCTCAATAAGGGAAGATAGTTAAAGGATGTGATTCCAAAAATATGAAATAAAATTGATCAGATATCTTGGGAAAATTATTGTGGAATATAAAAAGTGTACTGGTGATGAGCAAGATCAAAAGTGAAATATTTAACCTTAAAACCCAGCATTACCATCTTGAAAATAGCAGCAGAGTGGGTTAGAGTAGCAAGGAAATCAAGGGATGTAAAACTGGTAAGCAAAAGGATCAAGGAGAAGTACTTTAAAAACAGAACACTTAATGTCATAGAAGTGATTACGATGTATCAATTACAACAATTCAAATAGGTCAAACTCACTGTCTAAAAGGTTAACAGATTAAGTACACAGTCACTAGATACAAATTGTTTACAAGAGACTCATCTACCTAGGAAAAAGGCATACAAATATTAGAAGTTAAAGAGTGAAATCAGATATAACCAGCAGATAATAGCCATAAGAAAACCGATGTAGCTATATTAATATAGAGAAAATGGGCTTTAACTTTAAAAACTTTATTGGAGATAGAGGCATTATAAATAAAAATTGCAGTTTGCATAAAAAGTCTAACATATGAATAAGCATTCATGCACCTAATGAAAAAAACTCCAAATATATTACCGAAATGTATAGAATTATGGAAGAAATGAATAATCTATCACTACAGTGGAAATTTTATCACATTTCTGCTCATTTTTGAAAAGTAAAGCAGACAAAAACGATCAGTAATGTTACAGATGATTTCAACAATAAAAGCAAAAGCATGATTTCATAGACAAGTATGTAGTTATATATACAAAATAGAAGGAACATAGTTTTCTTAAGTACATATGAAGCATTTAAAAATTGATTATGTACTCAGCCAAAAGAAGCCCTCTAATTACTTTCATAGAGTCCCTGATTGTCAAATATTTGAAATTTTTTTAAGTTGTTAAACAATTCAAGAATAAAGATGAGATCATATTGAACTTTACATGAATAAAATGAAAAATAATATAAATTCACATAAAGTAATGTCTGGA